TCTCTGTGTGAAATAAAACAGGTAGAAAAAAGCAGCCCTTGCCGAGTTTCTTGCCGGTTCTTCTCAGTACAAGGTCTTCCGACGTAGTTTTGCGAAGCGATTGCGTAGTTTTCGACTTTCACAAGTGCTGTGTAAAAGCCTAAACTGAATAAACAATTTTGTTTTTTTTTTTTAGATTGCACCGAACATTCAACATGTATTGTTAGATCAAGTATATAATATGCTTAATATATCGGGTTGAACCCAATGCAATTTTACTGTTTTTGATTAAACTCCTGCCTGCTGAAAACCATAGAAAACAGACAAAGGAGAATGTATGGACACTTCATATAACAAAACGACTTCTTTTAAACCGGGTTGGAAGCAAAAATAAGCTAATGACGAATAAAACTTTGACTGTGACACTATCAAGAATCATACGGAAACGAAGGAAAATTACGATAAACGCACTAAGCAAAATGTCAATTCATACTATCGCAGAAACTAGGACGATACTTACAGCAGTTAATTATGGGCCAAAAAAATAATAAAAAGAAACATGAGCTGTGTGCATATGGCTTTGGTATTCCATAGAAACGACTTTATTAAAAAAGCCGGTCAAGTGCGAATCGAACTTGTGCAAGGCGGGTTCCTTACCGGAAAGGGAAAAAACGCGTTAGCTGTATGGCAACCCCTTAGATAATTATTTTATTCTATTTTTTGGTATTTGTTATTATAGAGTCAACAGAAATACATCATCTGTGAAAATAAATTATCTAACCGTCACGGTTTATGAGAAACAGCCTGGTGACAGACGGACGGATAGACAGCGAAGTCTTAGTAATAGGGTCCCGTTTTTTACCCTTTGCATATGGAACACCAAAACGAATCTCATTGCAAATATCTTCTCTAAATCATAATATTGCATTTCCATCGATAAAGTACATAATATCGAAGCTACTATTCATATTATTTGTGTAGCCCTCCTCCTCAACAAAGCTTGAGTTAGTCACAATAAGAATTATTTTTACAATTTTCAAGCCTGTTTATTTATGAAAATAGACATTTTTATTTGAGTGTTCCTATGTAACACCATATCAAGATAATTTAGGGGATGTAATCATCCCAGTTTTGTTTTATTCAAAAAAATTACAGATCTAATTTCGTCAATTTCAATGGCATTATTTGAGGACATACCCCTTCAAACAAAAAAAAAGTTCAATATGGATACAAACAAGATAACAGTCAAATTGAAAATCTATTCTTATTTTTCGAAGTTGGTTTAAAATAAATGACTGTAAGTACTAATACTACGCACACGAAGTTGCCGGTAAAAGCTTTTGCCCGCGACTTCGCCCGCGTGGTCTAGTTTTAAGTTTAGAAATGATAAAAACTTTCATCCCCTAATTTACCCTGTTAGAGGTAAAAATCCCTACGCCTAAAAAGAATCAGCATGCAAAATTTGAAACGCGTAGCACTTGTAGCAACGAAGGTACATACAAACTTTTGTCCCCTAATTTAGTCCAGTCGGGGTGGAATTTTCAAAAATCCTCCCTTAGTGCTCCTCTACGCTCCTTAAGGAATGTTCATTCCAAATTTCAACTTTTTACACTCAGTAGTTTCGGCTGTACATTGTCTGTCAGTCAGTCACACAGTAACGCAAGAATTTTATATGCATATATAGATAGACGAGAATGTGAATCCGCCAAGGACTGGAATAAATTGCAGGCGTCTGTATTTCCGTCCGATTATAATGTGAATGTCTTCAAATCAAGAGTGAATAGGCTGTTACTTGGTTAATGCGCTATACCACCCAAGGCTTCATCACCACTTACCATCAGGTGGGATCGTAGTCAAGCGTTAACGTATAAAATATTATATATATAAAAAAAATTTAAAAAAAAGAATCAAGTAAGAACTATGAATACTTATTAAGAATAATAAGCGCCGCGGCTCGCTATCATTGTTGTTATGCAACTTTCGCAAGGGTCGGTCACGGGATGGATAAAAAATTATTATTAGCCGTTGATTCCGACTGTATCTGGTCCGCATTGGGGATGTAACAGGGCTGATTTTGATGATTATGGCGATGATGATAGAGTTCTAATTATTAACAATTCTCATGATCATCATCATCATCATATCAACCGAGAGACGCCCTCTGCTAAATATATTTCCTTAAGTCATGACGAATTCTTATGTAATTACTTCTCTCGTCTATAGATGAGAGTTTTATATTAAAGTAACATCTATCAAAACAAAAGATAGAGTATTTGGCTTTCCAGCTATATACTGTTAAAAATCAGTCGTTACCTTGTCGTCGAACGCAGCGCCGTAACGTCAATATTTAGCATCTTTTTAAGTGGGCCTTTTTGATTGAACCTCTGTGCTGACAGTGCTACGCTTTACGTTGAGTTCGAAACTGTTTTTATTATAGAATAGCACTATTGAAAAGAAATATATTTTATTGTAAAAAAGACACTGCAAAAACTCGAATTAATTGTAATTTTCATTGAGAAATTAATAACCTACACAAAAGCTAAGCTCAATAAGTTTTAAATATTACGTTTCTTTCTATTATATTTAAAAACCGGGTAGTCAACCAATGATGTTAAATGCTTATAACCAAAACAAGATATTATATATTACGGATTCGTTTAGCATTAACGAGTAATACATAACAATATTTTCATTTATATATATAAAAAAAGTAAAATTTCAACACCGTCTAATGAAAATTCAAAATAAGAATATCCCCAAGATTTGGCTGTATGGCTTAGTTCCTTCGCCTGTCCCATGGACGAATTATAATACTACTACAAAATTAGAATAAGAAGAACCTCATTAAAGTCTATTGCCATAGCCACATGTAATATTAACTATACCAAAGCATCCATAAACCTACTTACTTGGGAATCTAAACCTACATATATTAAAACAGACAATTCTAATAAATTATATTCTTAATGAAAAATATATTCTTAAAGAACCTAACTGGACTGACGAATTTTTCGATACTGTCTGCGCCGTTTATTATAAATATATACATATTATTAATATTAAATTACTTGCATCACAACATACAATGTAAAACTATACAAATGACTCAAACGGTAGATAATAAAACCTCTTTTAAAATTCCACCCGCCCAATATATTAAAAAAAAGAAGAAGAAGACCTCTCTGTCATGGTGTCAACGCAAAAATACGTGAAAATACGCTCCTCTCGAAAAATAAACCGCTGTGTTAATATCTCACCAAAAATAAACTGTGCTCAAAATAGTGTTGAGTGTGTGAACTATTTTTTTTTATATAATAATAAGAATTCAAGAAAATGACCGAAACCTATGGAAAATAACTATGTAAGTCCACTAATTTTCAAAATTTCAATCATTGGAAATCCTCCAGATACTACAGAGCATATTTTCATCAATGCTCATGCAATCCACACAAACAGCCGAAAGAAATATTTTTACAAATAATTATTTCGATTGTTTGGATAAAATATATTCAAATAAGAATTAAAAAAAATAATCTGGATCAAACATTACTTAACTTCTTACTATAATAAATTAACAAAACTCACCACACAAATACCTAAGTCAAGCAATCCGTTATTTTTTATAATCAAAATATAAAACATTTAAATAAATTGAGGCAATTAATCAAATTTGTGAAATGAAAGATGTGTCCTTTGTGGAATTATAGTTTTTACCTCTTTCGGTCATTGCCCCCAACTACATCCAATCGGTTATCGCCAAAAAACATGGCGTCTGCGACAATAGTTCTTTTTTCGAATGTTTTTCTTCTAAATGTCATTGTTGGAGGTCTTTAACCGTGTTGGCTGCAAATCATCGGTGTCCGGTCCCACAAGATTCTAATGATTTTTGCCGTAAGCGCTTTTTTTGGGCTGCAATTACACCGTCACGAATGCGAGAACGCGAACGAGCAGCGAGGAATATAAAATATTCGTATCTGTGTCTTTACACTATACATCTACAGATCGGTAAGTACCTTAGCATTCAGCACCAGCCTATAAGTGTCCCCATTGTTGAGGCTCGGGCCTTCCCTATTGATGAAATCGTATATGGAGAATGGGCCGTGACCGCGGGCCCAGTGGTGATTGGTGAGTATAAATGACTGCAGATGCAGCCAGGACCAACGGCTTAAGGTACCTTCTGAAGCCCGGAGGAGTTAGAGATAATAAATTTTTGGTCACCCATTCAATGACTGACCATTACGAAAGATGCTTAACAACCGTATCGCAAACCGAGCGCATCTCAGCACTAGGCCTTAACATTAAGCCTAAACAGGCTTAGAATTAATAACATACAAACAAAAATAGTATTTCATAAGTATTCTGAGGAACAATAGAGAAACATGGGGTCGATTAATACTTTAACTTATAGTGCCATCTAAGCATATAACAAACTTAGGTATCTGTCCCGCTTCGTAACACTTAGGGACACGAAAGTTCTTCCACCATTCTAATGTTCTGTGAGTCTAATAAACTATAACGAAGACCGTCACAGTCATTTATACTCTTTGCGAAGACAATTTTATCTAAATATAAACAATTTGAAAATATTGATTTTTATCGAAATTGCAAGGCGGTCTCGTATTCCTAACACTATGCCTAAAACACTTAAAAAAAAAGAGAATCTGGTCTAAGAGTATTTCTAAAATCGTTTTCAAACTATATACGTACCGTGTGATCGCGCCAAAAAAGCTCATTTCGCCGCAACGATCACGCGAACGAGAGATCATCGCTCGCTCGAGGTCTTATAACAGTACTCGGATCAACACAGCCTCCAGGCGTTATGTAACATAATGTCAGGTAGTCCTCGCTCGGACCCCGGACCGGCGGGATCGGGAACCGACTGACCACATCACTAGAAACGTTCCAAATTCGAAAAGTGACAAGTGAAGACTACACGAAAGGGCGCCTGTTCGATTTTTGAAAAAGTTTCGTTAAGTTTGCAGTGTTATGGTGTTGAAGAGTTTTTATAGTTGTTTCATACAATGGAAGTGTTCAGGTTAGTTTACTTTGGTAATACGAACTTTTTGATTTTTGTAAAAAAAAAATCACTAATTTCGAATTTCGAAAATTATTTGTGTTTATCTTAAACCGTGATATAATAGGGTTTATCAAATTAAATACTAGATTAAATAATTATAAATCTTACTATGCATAAAATAAAAACAAATGAAATAATAACTAATTGAATATATTTCCGATTAATAAATTAAACTTGTTATTGCAAATTGCTAAATTTAGAAATTTTGCATCTTTAATACAAGGCTGCACCACGATTAGGAGAGCGAATAAATTGTGAATGTCAAATTTAAACGCCAATAAACTTCGCTAATAAATAAAAAATCGTCCGGTACACCTTGACATATAAACGTTTTAAAACCGAAGAAAATAAACTACAAAAGCATCATGAAGGAGTCAATATTACACAATCGATTTGTTTTCTAGTTCAAAGCAATAAATTTAATGTAAGAATTGTCAAAATGTCAAAGGAGATTCACAGTCAGCACAAAAAATAACAATAATCTGAAAGTGCCGTAAAAATAAACTATTTATTTGGAGACAGCATACGAATAGTTCTAAGTGTAGGTATAGTGCGCACGAAAATATTACGTTTACATAACAAACCTTATCGGTTATAAGTCAGCTAAAAGAAACTAGTACAAAACATCTGCCTAAAAGATAATCCTTCCTTTATATGCCCATTTCTCTGTAATAGAAACTTCCTGATTCAAATGACACGGAACAAATGAAACTCTACTTACGTAAGCGAACTGGAAGTAAACATATGTGACATAATTGAATTACAGTGATTCTGAGAATCGTTTTATTTTATTATAAATACCTATACTTCTTATTTCCTTAACGGCAATTTATTTGTTTGCTTTGTTTGCTAGATTCTATAAAACTTGTTTGTGCTAGCGCCCTTGTAAATTATAGTATACATCACCCGCGTATTATGTAGCTTCCTGCGGATGAAAGTTTTTTTTTAATCGGTCCATTAATATCGGCGCCTTAGTAGATCCCTTGCGGGGTATGCGGGAACAATCTATCGCCATAAAATCTTAACACACTATTATTTTCATTAGAGATACGCCGAACAGTGGTTTAATAGAATTTATTTATTTATTTTATTTATTCTTTATTGCCTAACTAAGGACAAATGGCGGACTTAATGCCATAGAGGCATTCTCTCCCAGTCAACCAGTTAGATTGTACAGAACAGTAGTAGGCGGTAAAGATTAAAAACGATACATAAAATCGTAACTATAAGCATTGGCATATATACATACAATACATATACGCATATATACATAATATTAATATACATACATTATATATACATATACATTATAAGATATAACGAGTACTGAAATGGTGGTGAATAACCGAATACTACCATTTAGTTTACCATTTCATTGTTTCGCCACATAAACAGGTTTAAAAATAAATGTTGATTTGGAGTTTAATTGCTTCATTTAATAAATTTTATTGAACACATTCTTCATAGGATTTCTTTGAAACATTTAACTTTTATTTCTGTAACATGACATTTATCCACAAATTATTAGAAAATGATGCCGAATACACCGAAAACCAAACGAATATCTTACGCATCCTTACTTTTCATACGTTCTCGCCGGTTTCATAGCTTCCGACATCACCTGCAATTATACGTATATTACGTTCAATTTAAACATGTAGGTTGACCTCCCTTGGCTACTAAGTTTCACATGTCACTGTTACAATTCTTAATATTTAATGTTGCTTACATAAAATATAATAATCGATTAATTAAGCTTGAAAAACTATTGGTAAACGTCTACAAAACAGTAAAACTTTACAACATCAACAAAAATACAAATGAAAATAAACAAATCATATTCCGTCGTTCCAGACAAATCCAATTGATCTTTAATAAGTCGACGCAATTTTACAAATAAATCACCGCCGAAACAGGGGACTATTCTATAACACCGAAAATGAAACCAAGAATGTTTTCGAAATACTCGTTTCACTATTAACCAACTACGACAAAGCAAAAAGAAGAGGTCAAATAGAGAATTAATAGTAACCCTGCAATTTCACATTTATTCTATTTATATATTTGGGCATTGTAATACTGCCTGCCTTAATTGCATATGAACCTGTAATGTAATATTTTAGAGATGTTAGAAGTTGTAACAAGTATTATCAAGTAATGTAGTGTATCTCGGTTCTTTTCCATCACATATGTAATGCGTGATCCGTTTCCATCATTGACGTAAATGCTCTATGTAAAAAAGAGCACCTTTATGTATCAATGAATGTCAACTCCTTACTTGTAAAATGTTTATGATATTTTAACAATAGTTACTATTGTATTATAGAGGTTTGTCCATTAAGATATACGAGTATAACGATAAATGCAATGTCATATTAAATTGAATATTGTTCGTAATAATGAAGTTGTGTTAGGTATCAAATGAAAGGACTCGCATTTCTGATTTTTACTCTTAATTTATTGAAAATACAAACTCTTTACAGCTTTTGTTGAAAGAGTTATATATTCTGACATTAAAAATATTATTGAACAAAACATGAACAACAAAACTTTGAAAAATGAATCGAAACTACGTTTTTCACAAATCGAGAATAGACTCCTTGTTGCTGCTTTCGAAATAACGTTTTCACAATGTTGAATTTGACGCCTATTCCGTAATATTTATAGAAAAAAGTGATTAAATACTTTGAGACAATATCTTTGATTGTTTTTCTCGTTAATTAAACTTTTGTTTACTATTGGGGCTGCCAATGTTTTTACGACCACGTCTAATCCGTTACAAAAACAAAATAAAATAGTTTCTATAACCTCCGTCGCTAAAATAAAACGACGGAGCTTACATCCGCAGTCTCCTTAGTTTAATTCTCATTCGTAAAAAGTAAAAACCATTGTCTGAATTTGCTGTTATATATATTTTATTTCTTTGCTTTATAATCAGTTTAACATTCTTCAATATTCACAAAAACTTCAGTTTTCTGAATAGAGGTTCATTGATAAAATCTAATACCCATAGTGGCCGATATACCCAACTAAAATACTTTTAAATTCTAATTAAATGTCCACTAAATCATTCAATTTGTATCAATCCAATTAAACATATGAAATAATTAATTAAAATATGAACTTCTAAATTTGTTGGCAGTACATTTATCTTATAGTACATTATACTGTGTGAGTCTTTGTGCTGTCATAACCTTGAAATGTGGTACTTAAATATTATTATAATTAAAATTTATTTTAGGATATATTGACATAGTCACATTTCTTGAAATATAACTGTATAATTATAAAGTTGTAGATTTTACTTGTTTCAGGTACAAAATTGTCTTCGTAGTAATAGCACTGTCATTAAATAGAGTCAGTGACGAGAAATCTACAGAATCTACAACGGAACACAACATAGCAACATGCCCATTCACTAAGATAATAGAAGACATATTCAAAATACACAACAAAAGTTCAGATTCCAGTTACACTTCGAAAGACAGTGAGAGAGTTAAAATATTTTTAAACTCGATAACGAATATAACAGGTAACGAAAACACATCAAATATTGACAATCAAGAAGATTTAGTCAACAAAATAATTGAATCAATCAACAAAATCAAACATAACATTACTTATAATAAAAACGATTCAGAAACCAATTTAAATGAAGCTATTATACTAAGTATACCTAAACAAAATGGAAGCGACACTAAGAATGCGACAAAAGAAGAAGGCTTGACCAAAAGAGTACCAATAAAAAGTGGCATTGAAGACAAAATAGACATTACTCAAACACAAATCGACAATATTAAAAACAAAACTGCAACTGAAAATAATACAACTACAACTGAAAGAATAAATTATGTTGAAATATTAACAATCGAACCCAATAATACGAATGGAAATGACACATCATCGCATAATATAATTGATGTTTTGAAGCATTTGATGCCGTTATTCAACAGTACACTCACAAAGGAACTTCATAACATAACCATTATAGAAAGAAATCATCACAAAAACCATTCTTTTACCGCGACAAAAAATGTGTCGACTATAGTAGTCACTTATTGCGACAAAGAAAACCTGACAAAATCGAACTTATCTAATATTGATTCTATCATGAAAATTGATAAAAAGAAAGGTGAAAGTGAAGATTATTATTCAGATAATAGTGATGATTCTGATGGAATTTATGACAGTGCAGAGTACGATGATAGCAAACCTGATGCTAATGTGACAGGTGATGAAAATAAAGATCTCATAGAAGCAGCCGAGTACGGTATGAAGAAAATGCACGAGTTATACACCATTTTGGAACCGAAACTGTATTCAATGGGTGAGTCAATTCAATGAATGCGAGGTAGCATTTTCCACATAAATTACATGTGTAATTCTCGTAGGAAGTTGCACAATCAGGAGTGCATTTAAAACACCTCTTAGGACGTACAGTCAACAGCACGTCAGGTTATACAAATCTGTAAATTAAATATTAGATTATTGAAGAAAAGTAGCGTCAGCGCACACAAACGATAATCAATCATTTGTTTATATCCCCATCCAACTAGGTCTATGGCTTGACGACACTAATCCAGCCCGTTACGTGGCTGCTTTCAACGCACCAGCCGAGGAAGCAGCCAAGTTCTCCCGCTTCGGATACGCTTCACTGCAAGCAGCAACAAGATTGAAACAACTGACTAGGTTAGTAGATAATTATAATAGGCTTGTGTCCTACAAGTAAAAATACAGGTTTTTGTTATATCTTCGAAAAATATGAACCATTTGAACTTATAAATGTTTAACAAACATATTTTAAGTCAATGATTTGGAAAATATTACGCTTTGAAAACTTGAAAAAAGTAGAGAAAATCTACTACAAAAATCTTATAAAACACGTAAGACATTAAATTAGATATAAAAAATGTTACAACTTTCATTATAACAGCTATTAACATAAACGCACAAATAACAAATATATTACAAAAAATGTCCAGACGCCCATACATTTTTCGCTACTGTAGCACCGTGTGACGTCACTGAGTGCCTTGAATTTGTAGGGAGCGTTTTCGGCCAACTAGCAGTAGTTCTACAAACACAGCACCATATCTCCGAAACTATTAATCGCAGACATGCTGTTACTTCGACATTATTTCTCAGATGTTAATGGACTATTTATTTATGAAATAAAAAAAGTTGTCAACTCGCCTATTATTATATAATACTACAAGATTTGAACTAAAAATTCGTGCTGAATTTCAGTGGCTATCTCAAACTCAACTAATTTAACTCAGACATCAATTGTCTACTTTTAGCATAAAAATATGTAAATGCTTAAATGTAGAATCATCTTTTATGTGATGACAAGTCTAACCATACACCACTACACATTATGCAAAGTGTGTTCTTACGAAAAAAAACCACTTTGGAAAAAATCTCAAAGTAATGTACGATTAAAATGTTTCAGTAAATAGACATCTTGTATTTCAACATCAAAGCAATTAACGTAAATACTTATAGCATTCATCCTTAACAAACGTAAATACTCGACTCTTTGGATTGCCGTAATCTAAATGAAAAAAGCCATACTAATCAGTAATATTATTAAAAAAAAATTAATAATCAACTTTTGAATGGATATCCTCCTTAACCATACATAAGGAAAGCCTGAGCCCCTGCAGTGAGGACGTAAAAGGACTGAGGATGATTACAAATTTTGAAAGCTTGTATGCTACGTAGTTTCTATACTATGTCGTTTTAAATTTTTAAGAAAACCTTTTATCAACAATTGGGATGTTTCTTCTCGATTATAGTTTACTATAGACTAATAAAGTTCTCGGTTAGCTCTTAAATAAATAAAGTATTTACATCGATACAGATAACAAACTTTTTTGGTAGATCCACTAGATTCCATATAGGAAAGGCAAAGCCGCCTAGCCCATACAACCAACGTCTGATGTATAAAAACGCTACCATAGAGTACTATCCGATATCTATGGCGGCTACCAATAAACAATAAACAATTATACTAAACAGAAAAGAGGTTTATTGTACTTTCACAATACCTGGCCAATAACATATTGGTCTTAATAAAAATATAATAACTACTAAGATTCACGAAGACGATCCCATATTGCGACAGACGAAATCTATTTTAGATTAATGTCAGACTAAGATATATAACAGACCACTGTAAGACCTTGCACTTTTCAATGTTACACAATTTCAGCTTATTGCCAATTGTGCACTATTAAAATGGGAGATGAGAAATACTTATCATAAAACAAATTCGCTAGGCTGTAACGTCACCAGTTCGTGTATTTTTGTCCTTGTTCGACTGAGATTTTAAAATTTCATTCAATATTTTTTTGTTAAATTGCATCATTAAAATTCGTTCCCTGATGTTCGTTCAATATTTTGAATTGAATTTCTATTTTGAGAGTATAAGGACTCTTTTAATAAGAGTATCGACAAATATATAATTTAGAAGGACATTATAGACATCATCACGGCCACTTCAATCCTGGTTTATCGTAAGATCCTGCCATGACCGGTCCTAAATGGGTACCATCCTGTTCGCTCGAATGTCTCGATGGCGCAATAATGTAACTGTTTATCTACGATAAAACGGCTCGTGCTTCTCAAGTGGATTATAATTGCGACTGCAGGTTGCTGTTATCTCTGTGAAAGCAGGGATTGTAAATGCAGATTGGATTTGAATTGTACGATAGAAATTATATTACTCGTTAAAAGAGGGAGTACAGTCAACAACACAAAGGGTTACCCGTAATGGTCATACTAAAATCTATTTTAAAATTTAATGTTTTAGCTTTTTTTTGCACTTATTTTAACACAGAACTGTAGATATAGCAGACTTAATGCCTTTTGTCAGTCTCTACCATACATTCGTTGTAACCCGATGAATACTATGTACTATGTAACCCGATGTACTCTGTCTCTATTTACGGTCTTTATTTAATGCTTGGTAGTCAATGAGGTGAACAAAATTCGCTATTAGCTAAGAAGGAATCTTGAACATAGCAACCACTAGGAACTATAATTGGAGTTTAAAAATCCTGTAATCCAGATGAAGCAGGTGAAGCCGTGGGCAAAAAACTAGTAAAAAAATATTTCACGAAATACGCCATCTTATTTTACTATTTGTTTTATCGTTGTCTATTGAGTTCGTCTTTGTCTTTATGGACAGTGTCAAAGAAAATTCCATTTTCTAATATCTGCTGTGCTATTCTGAAAAAAACAACAACAAACATTATTTTTTATTACCTTTTGAAGTAGATATTATTTCATTGAACCCTTTGCTGTAAGAGCGCTTTGAGGAAATTCATGCAGTGTCAATGAAAATTCAATTTTCTAATATCTTCTGTACTTTTCTGACAAAAAAAAACGACAAACATTATATTTGATATCTTTTGAAGCTTTGAGAAAATTCTCTTATCTGCAAAAATAAATATACTACTTCTTACAATAATTTTCGATGTTAATATGTGCCATATTATCGAAGACAATATTAAATGTTATGACTAGTACAAATTAAAGGAAGTAATAATTAAGTAGACTCTATTCACATGGAATTTTAAACATAATAACGAAGGAAACATATATTATTAAATAATATAATATCCCTAAGTTTACGTCCATGATGTTGAATTTAGATATCACAATATTAATTTATGATTATAAATTTAACCTCAACATTTACCTAAAGTAATTTTACATTATAACTTCATGCTACTCTAAGCTCCCCTCGATACATAATTAACTACTATGTGTACAAAAATAATTGTAAGTAAACTTAAATCTATGAAATGCTGATTTCAAAACTCATCACTGTTTTGTTTCTTCAAATATCGGTCTGGTAATTTCAAAACATACAATCAATTCTGTCTCTATAATATTAGTGTATAAAAATAAAAACAAATTACAAAATCAAACGAAACTAACAAAAATGACTCGTGAAAAAAACAATCGATTATTATAACCATAACCAATGAAATCAATCGGAAAACAAGAGCAATATTACATTACTTTTATCTCGATGACGACATCGCTGTAGTTAAACTATATCCGTGTAATGTTTTCGTCATCCCTTCGAGTGAATTACGTCACAGCTTAGTAATATTTATGGTTGAAAACAATTGATTCTGTTATAATCTTTGACACCGATATGAAGACATCAGAAAATGGAACTCGCTCAATCGTTGTAGTCACGCCACTTACCGATCGGCCTAGATATTTATTTGCTGACATTTTAAGACACTGTGCCTTAATACGCAGTAGTTTCGGAGGCTATTCCATGCAAACAAACAGACAAACCTTTCCTTTTTTCATTTAGGGACTGTGAAAACATGTCCACGCCATAGTGGCACTCGTGACCGGGGCATATAACATAGAATAAACCAGGTAAAGGATAATAAACCAACCGAAGAGAATACATCTACCCATAGTATAGAACAAAGTTGCTTCCCGCTGTCTGTACTCTGAGATATCTTAAGGTAAGTTAGGTAGTACACAACGGATTTAATACAATTTTCATCAATTGTAGTGATTCAAGAGCAAGATTTATACGTATAATACAAGACCACATATATTTTAATTTTTTTTTTACTTTTTTACATCATCACTACGAATTTACCCTATTTTTTTTCTAGACTACAAAGCCAAAGTTATATTTTTTTATTAAAAACAATTTTCAATTTCTTGTTGTGATTATATTATAATTTTATAAGTCACATTTAATCAATGCATAATACCGCCTCTATAATGAATACTTATTTGTGTCAAGTGTCTACACTTAATACAAACTCATTGCTTAATTCTATGTATGCTTAAAGCCCACGCGTCTATCAAAACCTCTTTACAGAGTGTTCAACTTGTGTTAGGCTACGCGCAAACTTCAATGCTAGTGTTTGTCGAACGCAGGCAGCTCTATCACGTCATAGCTGGCCAATAAACGATCAATCAAATTATCTGGATAATACATGATCGATTTCAATCTTGCATCAATCCACACATTACACGATTAATCTGATACCTATCACAGATGTCTGATCTAGATCACAGATTGAGTCAACGCCAGACATAATATTATAGTTTCGATCAAATGAAACCTTCTTCAAAAGGTAATAAAGGATTTCTTAAAATAAGGGTATTTATTGTGGATGCAACATTGATAAAATACAATAATAAAGGCTTTATTTAATTGAACCTCTTTGACGTGACAGTACTGCGTTCGACGAAGAATTATTTTTAACAGATAAGTGTAACTGTTAATTTTTTGTCACGACTTTCTGTCTCTTGTCACCGTACTTAAGAATCCTTGTGATGGCGCGTGCACTTTAACACGTAACAATGAAGTGACTTCCGTGAAAATTACAGGAGTACGGTTACAGAAACAATAAGTCACGATGACGGAAAATCAACAGTGAGCACGTAGCCTAAAGGTTGACTGCCTCTATCATATTTATATATTTATACAGATACATCTATCTTCATTAAGACGTTAATAATATTTGTTTTTTCTTTTTGTCTTACTTACTATAGTGCTTAACTTATTTCAATTATCGAATCGTAATAAAATAAACATTCGTCATTAACAGGCTTATCTTGTAAATAAATATACCTTTAAGTAGATTAGGCGTTTGCCTAGCGAAGGAATAAAGTTAAAGAAAAATGAAAACATACGTTATGATTAAAAGTACAAAGAGATCTACAGATTAATAATATATAAAATAGTTATTTATATATGCAATGTAATATTAATACGTAATTATAATAATACACTTTATTGCATTCAAAATGAGTAAGAGTAAACAAAAGAGCCTTATTTCCAAAAGAAAACTCTTCTAGGCAACTTACATTGGTATTTTAATGAGCAAATAACCAAAAGTTTATTTCCAAAAAATAAAATTTTATTTATTAATTCAGACACTTTATTGCACAAAACGTAAAAATAAATAACACATTAAGGTACAAATTTATTTTAGTCACCCATTTTGCTGGAGTATTGCATTCCTTCGCATAAGACTTTCTATCAATAATGTCACATAAGGGAAATGGCCAAGATAATGGTGGATGCCAATGATTGCAAAATCATATCTTCCGAAGTAGAGACAAGAATTTTGGGTTATGCAATCGCAAATCGAACGCTGCAACCGCTGCGCCATTGAGCTCTCCTGGTCGCGAAATCGCATTGTTTGCTCGAGTAATCATAGACGATTAGGACGACTCCTTCAAAAGTAACTCGCTTATGAAAATAATAACCAC